AGTAGAAGTCCTGGATAATCTTCTCCATTGCCCTTCTGGAAGATGTGAGAGATGCATCAGGAGTCGGAGGGCAGTCATCTTGGTCTTGTAGTTGACGAAGGACAGGTAGGTGTTGCGAATGCTTTTCCCGGCTTCTGCTGCATTGGCCAGCACTGCTGCTCTTCTCTCTTTAAGGTCTTCCTTTATCACTTCTCTGCACTGCTTTGCAAGCTCAGACACTAGCTTTTGGTTGCCTGAGGCTCACACCCAGCCACGTTGGTGAATGAGCTTGAGAGTTTTTGAAGACGGACATTTTTTTTTTTATTAGTGAAACACCATGAGGTACAGTTGTAGATTTACAATTTTTTGTGCTTGGGTTTGATTATACAATGATCAGATACCCATCCCTCCACCAGTGCCCATTTTCCACCACCATGGATAATATCCCCCCCATCCCCATTCCCCCATCCCCCCCTGCCTCTGTGGCAGGGCAATCCCCTGTGTTCTCTCTCTCGTTTTGGGTGTTGTGGTCTGCAAAAGAGGCATTGAGTGGCAAACATGTTCAGTCCATAGTCCACTTTCCACATGCATCTCCCCTTCTGGGAGGATCCTCCAAACACCCTTTATTTGGTGTTCCCTTCTCTATCTGAGCTGCCCTTTCCTCTAGAATGCCCGACTGGCCACTAAGCTATGGAGTACTCCTCCTGGTGCTGATCTCAGCTATTCTTGGGTATTAATCTCATATTTTGTTACTTTATATCCCCCAGATGAATGCAATCTTTGTATGTCTATCCCTCTCTTTCTGACTCATTTCGCTTAGCATGATACTTTCCATGTTGTACCACTTGTATGTAAATTTCACGACCTCATCTTTTCTAACAGCTACATAGTACTCCATTGTGGAGATGTGCCAAAGTTTCTTTATCCAGTCATCTGTTTTTGGGCATTCAGGTTTCTTCCAGTTTCTGGCTATTGTAAAGAGTGCTGCAATGAACAAACAAGTGCAGATGTCACTTCGACTATACATTTTTGCCTCTCTGGGATATATTCCCAGGAGTGGTATTGCTGGGTCAAATGGGAGCTCAATTTCTAATTTTTTGAGAATCGTCCATACTGTTTTCCAGAAGGGTTGAACCAGTCGACATTCCCACCAACAGTGAAGGAGTGTCCCTTTCTCGCCACATCCACGCCAGCATCGGTTGCTTTTGTTCTTTTGAATGTGGGCCAGTCTCTGAGGTGTGAGATGGTATCTCATTGTGGTTTTGATCTGCATCTCCCTGATGATTAATGATGTAGAGCATTTTCTCATGTGCTTTTTTGCCATTCGGATTTCTTCTTTGAGAAAGTTTCTGTTCATTTCATTGCCCCATTTTTGGGGTTGGATGTTTCCTTCTTGTGGAGTTTAACCAGTATTTTGTATATCCTGGATATCAACCCCTTGTCAGATGTGTATTCGGCGAATATCCTTTCCCTTTCTGTAGACTGTCTTTGTATTTTGGTCACTGTTTCTTTGGAGGTGCAGAAGCTTCTCTCAGCATTCCTAACACAATTGTGGAGGTGCTGAACCAGTCGATCGTGTGTCAATGCTGTCAATGATGGCATCATCCCATGTTGCCGCAATAGTGCCAAAAAGCTCCCAGTTGGTGGTCGTTCTGGAAATTCTCTTCTTAAACTTTGCAGCCCTTTCTCCCTGCTCCGTGAAGTAGAATTTTGCATGAAGGAGATGGTGGTCCGGTCCCATTTGGAGTTTTGGGACAACAGCAACATCAGTCAGGCAAAACCATTGATTGAATATGATATGGTCAATTTTGTTGTGGAACTGTCCACTGGCAGACTCCTATGCCCAACTGTCCAACGTTTAGATTTGGCCTTCTGGAACTATGAGTTACCATGGATGGTCTTGGTCAACATGATGAACTAGTCTCTCACCCTGTTTGTTTCATTCTAGGAATGAATGTGGAGTTTCAAGGTGGAGTTCTTCGGCCAATCTTCTTGGTCCTATCTTGGTATTAAAGTCACTGGCAATGATCTTGTAGAAGGTGTTTTGTTGTTGGTTTATTTTACAGGAGTTACTCCTGGCTCTTCACTCAGGAATTACTCCTGGCGGTGCTCAGGGGTACACATGGGATGCTGGGAATCGAACCCAGGTCGGCTGTGTGCAAGGCAAACACCCTACCCACTGTGCTATTGCTCCAGCCCCAAGGGGTGGTCTTCTTTATAGGACATCTCCAGTTCCACATAGAACTTATCAATTTTTTCTTCATCGTAATTGGATGTTGGTGCATAGACAATGAAGATAGATACTGCCGACAGCGAGCCACATCTATTCAAGTGTAATCATCTGATTCGGGTTGTTAGGCATTCAAATGAATCAATGCTCACGGCCAAGTTTGTGTTGACAAGGACACCGACACCACCAATGTCTCTTTTGTCACATGTTCTGAGGAAGAGTTCTTCTCCAGTGTTGAAAATGGTGTGATGTGATCGATGCCTTCTCGTCTAAGTCAGACCAATGATGTTGTACTTGATCTTCTGCACTTGCATCATCAGGTCCTCGATAGATGTCTCCGATGTCAGCGTATGTGCATTGAAAATACAGACAATCATTTTAGGCCTTCTTCATTTTGGAAGCCTAGTTTGGCCCTGAGATTTTATCAGCCTCTCCTTGCTCATCCTTCTTAACGCCTGCCTTATTGGGGACTCTTTCACAGTCAGGGGAATGAGATCCATTGTATTTACTGTTTTTGGCATATCGAATACACCACGGATAGCTTGCCAGGCTCTACTATTTTATTTTTTTGTTTTGTTTTGTTTTTTGGGTCACATCCGGCGATGCTCAGGGGTTACTCCTGGCTTTGCACTCAGGAATCACTCCTGGTGGTGCTCGGGAGACCATATGGGATGCTGGGAATCGAACCTGGGTCGGCCATGTGCAAGGCAAACGCCCTACCCACTGTGCTATTGCTCCAGCCCCAGGCTCTACTATTTTAAAGCAAAAAAAATTAATTTATTAAAAAAATTTAAATTCTAATGAATTTAAGGATTATTGAGCAAATAAATAATATTTTATATAGGCTACTGGAGATTGGTGATATAAATGTTGTCTAGGGTCTGGAGCGATAGCACAGCGGGTAGGGCATTTGCCTTGTAAGCGGCCAACATGGCCGACCCAAGTTTGATTCCTTCACCCCTCACGGAGAGCCCGGAAAGCTACTGAGAGTATCTCGCCCACACACAGAGCCTGGCAAGCTACCCATGACGTATTCAATATGCCAAACACAGTAACAACAAGTCTCACGAAGGAGACATTACTGGCCCCGCTCGAGTAAATCGATGAACAACGGGAGGACCGTGACCGTGACCAGGGTCAATGAAAATTTTAGAAAGGCCTTGATCACCATCAGTTCCATAACTAGAAAATTCAGAATCACCTTTGATGCTCTCTCAGTAACTGATTATGTCATTTACTGTAGAGATATAACATAAATCATAGAAAACAATATCAATATAAGGACCCTATGTACCTGGATTTGAGCTCTAGTTCTGCTAGTTATTAGTTGTGTGACTTTGCACAACCCCTATAAACTCTTCACTTTATCTGTAAAATGGAGGCAATAAAGACATCTATTATGTGATAGTCTGACTAGCTTTTATTCCTGATTCCTTGGAACTTGATGCATAATTGAACTATTTTGTTGTTGTTGTTGTTATTCTGGGCTCTAATATTTTTGAATTTCTGATGAAATAAGCAAGGATGGAGTCTGAACACTGGAAAGACCAACCATGAGGTAGTGGATAGCGGGTGCTGTGAGCCAGTCTGATCTCCAGGAGATGGAGGTCAGTTTCATGGTCAATTATTCAACCAACCACATCTATGTAATGAACTCTAAGAAACACACACACACACACACACACACACACACACACAAGAGACGAATGCTCAATAAACTCACGTTGGTGTTTTCTGGGGGGTGGGGAGACAGGTGTGCTGCATTCTGTTTCCATGGGGAGAGGTCAGACAAGTTCTGCATTTAGAATCTTTCCACATGGTCCTCATATATGCTCCTTTATTATAAAACTGTAAGTATAGCATTTGTCTGAATTCTGAGTTGTTCTAGCAAATTATTGATGGATTATTGACCAAATTATAGATCTGGGTGGTCAGTGACCCTAAATACATAGCCAGAGGTGCAGATGATAGTGGAAAGCCCCAAGGTGGTGGTTGAGATCTACCTTTGGAACCCAGCCAGTCATTCCCCCAGCTTGTATGAGTGGTTACTCATGGATGAAATCCCCCAGTATCTGCATCTGTGCCTGAACAGTGCGAAGATAGGAATTTCTGAGACCTCTGTAATTTGGGCAACGCTGGAAGGTCATTTCAGGGAGCCAGCGTGTTCCTGGAAATGTTAAGTCCTCTTAGTTCAACTTTTTCCTCTACTTCGTCTGGTTTCCATCATTCTTGCAGGTCTTGATCATAGTGTCTCCCTCCGCCCCCCAACCTCCTAATCAGAATCTTCAGAATCTTCCTTGGGGAACTCCCTCTGGTACACACCTTACCCCGTCTTGTATTTTTCTTTTTTGGGTGGGGGTGGGGGTGGTGTTTAAGGTCGCACCCAGGGGTGTCAGGGGTTACTCTTGCTTCTGTGCTCAGGAATTTCTGGCAGAGGATCGGTGTCGACCCCGAGCGGGCGAGGCGCAAACACCTTACCCCGTGTCTTACTATGTCTTTCCTGTCCCTTCTTTGCATAGCAATGATCAGCCTATGAAATAACCTTATTTATTTCATGCATTGGAATTTGCTTATTGCCTACTCAGGAAAGATCATTTCCACCCCCCCACACTCCATTCCAGCACCGAGGGCAGGGCCTGCAGAATCCAAGCAGACACAGATTCTTGCAGAGATGAACAGGGTCTCCGGGTCAGTCTCCCATGATCCCCTAACAACGCTGACTTAGGAGGCTCCAGCCGGAACGTTGCCCCGAGTCCCCGCCCCCAGTTCCCGGCCGAGGGCGGGGCGGGGCGGGGCGGGGCGGCGCGGAGGAGCGGCGGGCGCGATGCTGCCACCCGCGGTCCGCTTGGTGCCGCTGGGCCGGGCGCCGTACGCCGAGCTGCTGGCGCTGCAGGAGCGCTGGCTGCAGCGGCTGCAGGCCGGGCCGGGCGCCGGCGCCCCGTCGGGCACGGAGGCGGGCGCGCTGCTAGTGTGCGAGCCCGCGGGGCCCGTGTACACGGCCGGGCTGCGGGGCGGTCTGACGGCCGAGGAGGTGGCGCGGCTTCGGGCTCTGGGCGCCGAGGTGCGTGCCACGGGCCGCGGCGGCCTGGCCACCTTCCACGGCCCCGGTCAGCTCCTCTGCCACCCGGTGCTTGACCTCCGGCGCCTCGGCCTGCGCCTGCGCACCCACGTGGCGGCGCTGGAGGCATGCGCCGTGCGCCTGTGCGAGCTGCTGGGCCTGCCCGGCGCCCGCGCGCGGCCCCCGCCCTACACCGGCGTCTGGCTCGGGGAGCACAAGATCTGCGCGATCGGTGAGCAGGAGGCCGGCGGGGCGGGGCCCGAGGGGGGCGGGGCCTATGGGCCGGGCTGGCTTGGGCGGAGCCTGATAGGACGCGGCCCGCCGGAGCAGGTCTCAGGGGGCGGGGCCAGGGGGCGGGGCCTACGGGCAGGGCCGGCCTGGGCGAGGCCTGATAGGACTCAGCGCCGGAGTGTGGCCTATGGGGCGGGGCCTGATGGGGCGGGGTCTGCTGGGGGCGAGGCCTGTGGGGTTCCTTAGCGCGGTCTGTGCATCAGAGCTACCTGCAACCTTTATATGTTTTATTTATTTTTATTTTTTTAAAAAACTTCTTCGCTGATATATTCAGAGCCAGAAGGACCCTCAAAGGTCATCGTGTCCAACAATTTTCCTCAAGAGAAGTCAACTACCAGTTTGCTTCCTGTAGATCATAATGACAAAACATTAACAGGAACTTAATTTTCTTAGACTTTTTTTTACAAGAATAGTTAACATATGTGGCTGTGAAATTAGAAGAGGAGCGGGTACTGTGTCTGATCCGAATTCAGTCCAGGGTACCGCCTGGTCCAGCATAGCAGGGTGTAGCCTTCGAGCCCAGGGCCCCCCACGGTATGCAAGAAGCAGCCCCGTCCATAACTTTTTAAAAAGTAGAATACAACTAATAGAATTTCCACATTACTGGACGTTTCCAGGACTCCATTATCAGTGCATTTGCTGTGAGCTATAGGCTGCCTCAGTTTTGTCTCTCCTCTCCTCCCTGTCTGGACCAACCCTGGGGTGTTTAAGAAACCATTAGATCTAATCTATCTAGTTCTGCCACTTCAGGGAGAGGGATCATGGCTCTTGGGGAGGGAAGGTGCCTATTCTTTTATTTATTTGTTAGGGGTGTTGGACCACTTTCAGTACTTCCTCCAGGCTCTGTACTACTCTGGAGTCTGGGCAATCCCTGGAGAACCAGGAATGAGTTCCGTGCAAAGAATGTGCTCAACCACATAGGACTGTATTTATTCAAAGACCCTTTGGTTGTTCTTACAGGAGTCCGCTGTGGAAGGCACATCACATCCCATGGCCTGGCTCTGAACTGTTCCACCGACCTCGAGTGGTTTGAGCATATTGTGCCCTGCGGTCTAGTGGGCACTGGTGTCACTTCCCTGAGTCAGGAGCTCCAGAGGCACTTCACTGTGGACGAAGTAATGCCACATTTCCTTAAGGCCTTTCAGGAGACCTACAAGTGCAGGCTCATCTCAGAAGACTCCCCCAGCTGAAGAACAGTCATCTTCCCGCCTCCTCCTTCACTCACCCTGGAGTCTGTGGGCAGTTTTGAGCTCTGAACCTTTGTCTTCATCAGTATTCTGCTTTCTCTCTACCTTCCCCAGCCACCTTCCACATAGTAGATCTGAAACATCAAAGCTCTATAAAGACAAGGCATTCATTGATTCATTTATAAGGAAGGACAAGGTGCTACTGATCCATCATCACAGCTTCGAGAAACTTGGATGTCATTTCTCAACTATTTATTACTTCTTCAAAATGGATGTCAGTTCTCAAATATTACTTCTCCAGTATGGTATTTAATTGGATAATTCTGGGCATAAGTTCCTTGATTTTGTAGGAACATGGCAGCCCAATTAAAGCTGATCTGATGAGGTGATTTTTAGTTCAAGAGCTCTGCTTTTTTTTTTTTTTTTTAGGGGTGGGGCACACCTGGTGATGCTCAGGGTTATTCCTGGCTCTATATTCAGGAATCACTCCTAATGGTGCTCAGGGGACCATGTGGGATGCCAGGGGTTGAACCCAGCTCAACCGCATGCAAGGCAAATGCCCTACCCACTGTAGTATCTCTCTGGATCCTCATTCTCAAGAGATCTGGATACTCTTTACAATAAAGGAAAAGATCTTTTTAAAGGGAAAAAAAAAAGGAGGCAAAAATTAGATCCTGTCTTCCTGGTTGAAATTCCCAAGCCAGGTAGCTATTTTTTATAAGGTAACCTGAGCTAGTCCAGACACTGGGGGAAAAGATAAAATTTTCTCACATTGCACAAGTGCCAAAGATAAGAAATGGTTTTATTTAAGATGTGAAATCCCTACATTTTAAATGATGTGTTCTCTGTTGCTGGATAACGAATCATGCTAGAATAATGACTTCAACAATAAAAAGGTATCTCATCTAGTTTCTGTGGTTGGGAAATGGGGAGAATTTTAGCTCCATCTTTCTGGTTCCCAGTCCTCTGAGATACAGGAAGAGCGTGGTTGAGGCAACTGCCACGGAGGTTATGGTAACTGAGACTAAAGGATCATCACCTTAGAGGATTCAGGTGCTTGTGCTCTCATTGACAGGAGACCTTGGTCGCTCCCCATGCGAGCTGCTCCGTAGAATTGTTTGAAAGAGTGTAGGTTTTTTGGTTTGGGGCCCCAACTTGGTGGGGTGCAGGGACTACTTCTGGCGTGGTGCTCTGGGCTCATTCCTCTGATAGTAGCATGATAGCAGGGTTTAAACCCAAGATTCCAGAATGCAAAGCATTAGCTCTGGCCCTTTGCCTTCCCAGCCCTGCTGAATTATTCTTGTGACCTGCAACTGGGTTTCCACAAAGCCAGCGATATCAGAGACAGAGAAACCCCAGTGTCTCTTATGACCCAAACTTGCACATTGATTGCACAAATGCTCCCAGTAGGTGAGCCCCTCCGGAGCAAGGGGTGGGGGTGGGGTTGGAAGGGGAACACCTGCACTAGGGTGGATCATTCATTCCCACCCACTGGCACTCAAGGCAGAAAGAGCCTCAAGAAATCGAGTAGCCTGGTTCCAGCCCTGGCTTTTTGTTCAAATCATTTGTCCTCCATGGGGCTTTGGTGTGCCCTGGTGCCAGCATTGTCCAGTGGAAATATAAGCCATATTGTAGTTTTATATTTTCGTAGCAGCCATATTTAAGTGGGATATTTTAGTAGCATTTTACCTAATAAACCCCAATTTGTCAATATAAAAGTGTTTTACAGAGGTCAAAGAGCACATGGGTGGTGCTTGCTTTGTATGTAATCTATCCAGTTCGGTCTTGGAGCACTGCCATTATTAGCTCCTGAACACAAAACCAGGAGGATTCTGAGAACCCCAGGGTATGGCCCACTTCCCCTAATTTTTTATACTTTATACTAAATTCAGATAGTCTGTGTATTTTACAATTCCAGCACTCCTCATTTTGGCTACGCGAGTTCTTGTCAAATTTGCTTTGTAGCACGTGGCTACCATGTTGGGAAGTGTCACTTTAGACACTATTGGATGTAAAGTTCAATTTGAGCTCCCCCGTTTTATGGCCTCACTGGTTTCTAGGAAGAGAGGTGACGCCTTCCACATCCGAGGGGTGACTTTTTCACGATGCAAATACTTTGTATCAGTTACTCAAGTTGAAAGTGACTTTAGCGGTATCTCTCCTCTAAAATTATGAAACTTGCTCAATCCCACACAGTAAGTTAAAGGCAAAGCTAAGACGGTTCCACAGACTAGGCCCTTTCTCACACTCTTCCTTCAGTCTTTTTCTGCTCTGCACAGACTTAGCACTCCCAGACAATATGCCTGATGTACCACATTCATACAGTTACAGTTACTTGTCTGCTCAGGGGCCACAGCTGACTTTGCATTGTGCAAATGATTAGTATGTAGTTCAGGATTGAAATAAGTTTCTTGACAATTGCCTTAACCTTTGTACTATCTCTTTGGCCCACCCACCCTCTTCTGATTGGTACAATATGCTTATTTGATCAGGATTCTTATATTTGCAAGAATAGAAACCCAGACTTTTAAAACTGGAATCACATTGGTTTACATCACTGTGTATGTTTCAATACTCTGCACTTTTCTTTCAGAGGAAGTTGTCACACCATGCCCATGACCATCTCTTTGACCTCATCAACTCATCGTGTCTCCTCTGCCTTCCCCTCTGGCAACCTCAGTCCTGCTCTTCAGCTTCAAGGGTTGTTTTCTTCTGTTCCCTTATTTATTTCCCATATTTGAATGTGATCATCCAGTATTTGTATTTCTCTTTCTACTTACTTTGCTTAGCATGACATCCTCAAACTGCAGCTGTGTTGTTGCCAAGGGCATGTGTAGTTCCGTTGTGTATCTGTACCCCACGTTCTTTATCTTCCCATCTTTCACTGAGCGCTTGGGTTATTTCCAGATCTTGACTGCTGTAAGCAGTGTGCCCGGAACAGAGCAGAACACATTCTTGCAAATCATTTCAACAGCACTAACTGCTCCAGCATCTTCCTCGTCTGCAGACACTGACAAGGAACCAGTTCTGCCAGAGCTGTGGTGGGAACAGAGGGCTTGCTTCACCGGGAAACATCTCTGCAAACCCACCAAAAATCAGATTTTAAAAAGTTTTCTTACTGAACATGTTTGCCATTCAATGCCTCTTTTGCAGACCACAACACCCAAAAGGAGAGAGAGAACAAAGGGGAATGCCCTGCCACAGAGGCAGGGTGGGAGGGGGGGTGGGGGGGGAATATTATCCATGGTGGTGGAAAATGGGCAGTGGTGGAGGGATGGGTATTTGATCATTGTATGACCGAAACCCAAGCACAAAGATTTGTAAATCTACAACTGTACCTCATGGTGCTTCACTAATAAAAAAAAAAAGTTTTCTTTAATTGACTCACCTTGAAGTATAGGGTTGCAGTGCCTCTTTTGCAAACCACAACACCCAATAGGAGAGAGAGAACAAAAGGGCATGCCCTGCCACAGAGGCAGGGTGGGCTGGGGGGGGAATGGGGGGTGGGAGGGATACTGGGACCCGTAGTGGTGGGAAATGCGCACTGGTGGAGGGATGGGTATTTGATCATTGTATAATTGAAACCCAAGCACAAAAATTTGTAAGTCTACAACTGTACCTCATGGTGTCTCACTAATAAAAATTAAAAAAAGAAAAAAGAAATATAGGGTTGCAAAATTGCTCAGGATTGGGTTTCAGTCATACAATGTTTCAATACCTGTGTACATTTCCCACCACCAATGTGATCATCCAGTCATCCAAGTCTTGCTCCCATCTGCCCTACCACCCACCAACATGCCTTATGGTATATATTTCCCTTTCTCATTTTTTTTAGGCACTGTGGTTTGTAATATTGTTTCTGAAAGGGTATCATGCATATCCCTTTATCTCCTTTCAGCACTCAGATCTTGTCCCGAGTGATCATTTCCAACTATCATTGTCACAGTGGTCCCTTCTCTGTCCTAACTGCACTGCCCCTCCCCCTTGGTGGGCCAGTCCTCCTGGTCATTGGGAAATCAGATTTTTGCCATCAAAATCTGCTTTTTAAACCAAATTGCAATTACTCTATGTATTACCATAGTGTATGATAGTAACTGTAAAGTTAAAACAGCAACAGGTATATCTGCACTTTTTTTTTTATGTACTTAATGACCAAGACTTTGGGTTCCAGCCCCAGTCCATGGCCTGTCTCTAATTCCAGTTCCAAGCAGGAAGAAGGAAGCAGAGACTGAGTGGTTATATCGCATGAAGAATTCCTGCAGCCTCATCTTGGTCCTCTTGACTTTTCCCTGCCAGATTGAGGATGGAATCCAACCCCCATATAAAAGGCTGACACTCTGAGCCTCAGTGGGCAAACCTTGTCCTCTTATTGATGGACTTCAATAACCAGTGTGAAGTGGGCATCCTGGCCCTGTGCCTGTACTTCCAGATATGGATCTACTTCTATTGTTTTGTGATGGGTCTTTTTGGGGAGATATGGCAGAGGGCACACCCAGTAATACTCAAGGGTTCCTTCTTGTTCTGCACTCAGGAATCACTCCTGGCAGGTTCAGGAACCATATGGGATCCCGGGGATTGAAACCAGGTCAGGCGCTTGCAAAGCAAGCACCTGACCTGCTGTACTATTACTCTGGCCCCACTAGTGCTCAGGAAATTATATGTGGGACTGGGGATTCAAACCAGGATGGACTACTTCAACTGTATGCAAGGCAAGTGCATTTTCTCTTATACTATCTCCCTGACAGCCTTTTCTTCTGCTTCATTCTACCCCCTAGAACATTCTTCTTCATCCTAAACTGAAATCTGCCCCCAAAGATTTGAAGTCTGTCCTCAAATGTGCTTCTGGAACACCACTCCGGGATGCCCTCCCCAGTCATGCCCTGCCGGCTGCCCCAGCCAGGGACTATATAGAGCATCGCCCACACCAGGGCCTCCCATAGAGCAGGTGCCTGAGACATGGTATGCCGAGTTGACAAATGGATTCTGACCATGAATTCTGTATTATTCAACTCTGGATTTTCTGGTCCATTTACAGAACACAACTTGCATCATCTTAAATCTTGTTATTAACAAATCTGGGGGTTGGGGCTGGAGAGATAGGACAGTGGGTGAGGTGTTTGCTTTGCATGCAACCTACCTGGGTTCAGTCCTTAGCATCCATGTGATCCCCAGATCCCTGTCAGGAATGATCCCTGAGCACAGAGTCAGGTGTAAGCCCTGAACACCACCAAGTATGATCCAAAATAAACAAACAAAAGACAGAAGAAAAATCTGGGGATGGGTCTCAGGTATGGATGGATCTAGGAGATAGCCTCTAAGACTTTACCTTGGGACTCTTAGGTAAAGTCCCAAGAACAAGGGTGTTCCTGGAGCAGGAAATAGTGTGTGGATAGAACTGAAGGT